AAAATAGAATCAAAATTATTTAATTCTTATCAAAGTACCCCATCATTCAACAATAATAGACATTGTCAATAAAATTTATCATGTCTTACATAACGATTATACATAAAATGTGAAAATTGTTGTTTCGCCGCGAAAAATAATTTTTTTGTTAATCAGTTTTTGAGATAAAGTAAGACGATAAATTAGTCAATCGTTACTCGTAACAGTTTAAATTTCATTGTGTACTTGTGAATACATTTACTTATCAAATTAATAAGTGTATACATTTACTAAATTAACACTTTTTGATTGTGAGATATATAAATAATAACTAATATATTTTACTGAGAGCTCTGAATAAATTCCTTTTTACAGCGATAGAATGTATTGTCTGTGTTATATTTGTTTTGCACATGTTGCAAGTCATAATAGACATCGTCAATACGAATTGGCTATAATAACTTCAAGGACAAAGTAATCTGTGCAGTATAAAGACATGCATTATTGCATGCACAATGGAAAAATATATAGAAATCTAAAGAGGCATTGTGAATGAATCATTATTAAGGCATTCATGGATATTTGTATCAATTGTCGATTCATTATTGGCACTATTATTTTCACGTAGCCCAGCAATGCCTACAAAGTTAGCAAGCACTTGTGCTCACTTGCATAAACTCTGTGCTACATGAATTGATTTTGGCAATAGGCAAAAGTAATTAGTAAATATGCAATAGTGATGTAAAAAATAGAATACAATTAAAAGGAAAATAAAATATGTGATATATTCACCTGGCCAATATATCGAAACGCATTTCATATTATCTATTTCGATATCGTACATGCCACCTCTAACCACAATTTTTTCAGCGGGTGGCAAATCATTTGTTTCATCATTACTTTCGCTAATTAAATTCTGACGTTCTTGATAAATTCTCTCAATTCTTAAACTGTCGTACCCGCAAAATTCGTTCCATCTTTTGTCAACGCCGTCTTTATAAAACCACCGTATTTCTTCCGGAATCAAAGGTTCAGCGTAATCTGCTTCACTCACAGCATTAATTTCTATATTGTTCTTTGGACTTGATTCCACTATTGTTTGGTCATCATCTTTGTACGAGACAAAAATTGAATCATTACACATCTAATATTCTTTCAATAATTAGCAATTATCTTAACAAATAATAATTTTAAAGCATCGACATGTTTCGAGGAAAGATACTCGCAAAAATATAAAAATAATCTTTTAAATATAAATAACCATTTATATTACACGATACGACGCAAATATTACACGATTTTTGTTGAAATTTTTATAATTGATATTTTTGGGAGATACTCTTGTATATTGTTATAAAAAAAAGTCTAAATAGATAAGCAAACTTGATTTATCAAATGACACTAATAAATTTTAGAATACTTGAAATCTAACGGAAAAAATTCGTCTGATAGGAAAAAATTCGTCTTGATAAATTGTGCAATGCTCAAGCGCGCGCACTCCCAAGGATCTCCCAATTTAAATATCTTGCGATAACAAATGACGAATGCGAGTTAACAAATGACTCTGCAGAGAAAACTGATTGGTACAAGAGCTCAATAATTCTTTAACATACAGTTGGTTTTTACTTTTAGTTCTTCACTGGATCTACAAGTAACATAAAAACTGACTCTACATTAAAAAAAAAAGCACTTACCAATCAATTTTCTTTATCAATGGCTGTGCGTTCAGAAGACTCAACAGTTGAATGAGAGCTCGCTGTTATTGGTGTATTCCTCCTCTAGAATCTCTAGATCATCCAATCAGACCTCTAGATCTCTAGAAGATTAGCAGCGAGCACTTATTTAGCAATGTCAAGTCCGCTGAACGCCTGATAATGTCTCTTGATAACGTTTTTTGACGATCACGTCATGTAATCGAATCACCGGATGTATCTCGTGTGTCGTACCTTCGTAGGATTCTTGCTCCATGGGCAGCTCCATCGGCGTCTCACTGAACGGATCGACCTCGCTCAGATTAATGGACATCCCGTTGAGCTGTTGGGCGACCGGCGATTTATTGTCAGAATAGCAAGCACGCTCAAGCTTGAGTGAGTTCAACAAACAACAGCGATAGTTGTCGCTGCGCGTGGGCAGCGATCACAAGACTATGATAGACGCGACTCTCGTCGCAGTCACCCTCGCGCTATCTCGATGACGAATCGAAGGAGATGAACTTTGTATGAGCGCGAAAAAAAGCGTGAGACATGCCAAACATAAAACGGAAGAGAGGAAAAGAGAGAGAGAGAAAGAGGAACATGGCAAGGAATATTCCGATGATTTTCGCCTCTTGCGGAAATTACAGCTGTAGTGACATAAATCCCGCTCGCGAATCTGGCAATCGAGTCGAGACTGTCAAGAGCCACATTATTTCGCTGGTCTCACCCTCTCCCAATGTCTCCCAAGCTGACCAAAAGGGACCGCATGCGCGCGTGTACATGTGTAATGCGTTATCCAGAGAAATTAGAATTTAGAAATGGTAAAGAACGATTCGATGCAATGCGACACTAATCACAATGATATCCTCAGATATCCTCTTCTCTCCGACTATTATCGTGTATCTCACATTATTGTATATGTCGCTCTCCTTTATGCATGCAAACCATACAATACCATAGATATATATATATATATATCTATGGTATTGTATGGTTTGCATGCATAAAGGAGAGCGACATATACAATAATGTGAGATACACGATAATAGTCGGAGAGAAGAGGATATCTGAGGATATCATTGTGATTAGTGTCGCATTGCATCGAATCGTTCTTTACCATTTCTAAATTCTAATTTCTCTGGATAACGCATTACACATGTACACGCGCGCATGCGGTCCCTTTTGGTCAGCTTGGGAGACATTGGGAGAGGGTGAGACCAGCGAAATAATGTGGCTCTTGACAGTCTCGACTCGATTGCCAGATTCGCGAGCGGGATTTATGTCACTACAGCTGTAATTTCCGCAAGAGGCGAAAATCATCGGAATATTCCTTGCCATGTTCCTCTTTCTCTCTCTCTCTTTTCCTCTCTTCCGTTTTATGTTTGGCATGTCTCACGCTTTTTTTCGCGCTCATACAAAGTTCATCTCCTTCGATTCGTCATCGAGATAGCGCGAGGGTGACTGCGACGAGAGTCGCGTCTATCATAGTCTTGTGATCGCTGCCCACGCGCAGCGACAACTATCGCTGTTGTTTGTTGAACTCACTCAAGCTTGAGCGTGCTTGCTATTCTGACAATAAATCGCCGGTCGCCCAACAGCTCAACGGGATGTCCATTAATCTGAGCGAGGTCGATCCGTTCAGTGAGACGCCGATGGAGCTGCCCATGGAGCAAGAATCCTACGAAGGTACGACACACGAGATACATCCGGTGATTCGATTACATGACGTGATCGTCAAAAAACGTTATCAAGAGACATTATCAGGCGTTCAGCGGACTTGACATTGCTAAATAAGTGCTCGCTGCTAATCTTCTAGAGATCTAGAGGTCTGATTGGATGATCTAGAGATTCTAGAGGAGGAATACACCAATAACAGCGAGCTCTCATTCAACTGTTGAGTCTTCTGAACGCACAGCCATTGATAAAGAAAATTGATTGGTAAGTGCTTTTTTTTTTAATGTAGAGTCAGTTTTTATGTTACTTGTAGATCCAGTGAAGAACTAAAAGTAAAAACCAACTGTATGTTAAAGAATTATTGAGCTCTTGTACCAATCAGTTTTCTCTGCAGAGTCATTTGTTAACTCGCATTCGTCATTTGTTATCGCAAGATATTTAAATTGGGAGATCCTTGGGAGTGCGCGCGCTTGAGCATTGCACAATTTATCAAGACGAATTTTTTCCTATCAGACGAATTTTTTCCGTTAGATTTCAAGTATTCTAAAATTTATTAGTGTCATTTGATAAATCAAGTTTGCTTATCTATTTAGACTTTTTTTTATAACAATATACAAGAGTATCTCCCAAAAATATCAATTATAAAAATTTCAACAAAAATCGTGTAATATTTGCGTCGTATCGTGTAATATAAATGGTTATTTATATTTAAAAGATTATTTTTATATTTTTGCGAGTATCTTTCCTCGAAACATGTCGATGCTTTAAAATTATTATTTGTTAAGATAATTGCTAATTATTGAAAGAATATTAGATGTGTAATGATTCAATTTTTGTCTCGTACAAAGATGATGACCAAACAATAGTGGAATCAAGTCCAAAGAACAATATAGAAATTAATGCTGTGAGTGAAGCAGATTACGCTGAACCTTTGATTCCGGAAGAAATACGGTGGTTTTATAAAGACGGCGTTGACAAAAGATGGAACGAATTTTGCGGGTACGACAGTTTAAGAATTGAGAGAATTTATCAAGAACGTCAGAATTTAATTAGCGAAAGTAATGATGAAACAAATGATTTGCCACCCGCTGAAAAAATTGTGGTTAGAGGTGGCATGTACGATATCGAAATAGATAATATGAAATGCGTTTCGATATATTGGCCAGGTGAATATATCACATATTTTATTTTCCTTTTAATTGTATTCTATTTTTTACATCACTATTGCATATTTACTAATTACTTTTGCCTATTGCCAAAATCAATTCATGTAGCACAGAGTTTATGCAAGTGAGCACAAGTGCTTGCTAACTTTGTAGGCATTGCTGGGCTACGTGAAAATAATAGTGCCAATAATGAATCGACAATTGATACAAATATCCATGAATGCCTTAATAATGATTCATTCACAATGCCTCTTTAGATTTCTATATATTTTTCCATTGTGCATGCAATAATGCATGTCTTTATACTGCACAGATTACTTTGTCCTTGAAGTTATTATAGCCAATTCGTATTGACGATGTCTATTATGACTTGCAACATGTGCAAAACAAATATAACACAGACAATACATTCTATCGCTGTAAAAAGGAATTTATTCAGAGCTCTCAGTAAAATATATTAGTTATTATTTATATATCTCACAATCAAAAAGTGTTAATTTAGTAAATGTATACACTTATTAATTTGATAAGTAAATGTATTCACAAGTACACAATGAAATTTAAACTGTTACGAGTAACGATTGACTAATTTATCGTCTTACTTTATCTCAAAAACTGATTAACAAAAAAATTATTTTTCGCGGCGAAACAACAATTTTCACATTTTATGTATAATCGTTATGTAAGACATGATAAATTTTATTGACAATGTCTATTATTGTTGAATGATGGGGTACTTTGATAAGAATTAAATAATTTTGATTCTATTTT